ATATATATAACAGAAAGAAAGAAAACAAATGAAAATACAATAGTTTGGAAATAACACTATATAGAATTACAAACATTTCTCTTAAAGTCAGCAAACGCATAAAGAAAAAAACGGAGTCCCTAGAACTGAGTCCTGTGGGACAACGTCAGACTGTGGAGAGACATCAAACAGAAAGCTGAGGACCATGTGACCAAAACACAGATGTTTCTGCAATCATGGATGTCACTGAGGCCAGAATGTGACATTTCTAGAATTTCATTTTTTGCATAGAGTCAAATCTGTTAATATTTGTTTTACAATATGTATATATTTGTTGTTCCAGGGTGCGTTAGTAGGCGTGAATCCTGTACAGATTAGAGCTTCAGTGGATTTGTATCCCAGTTCCAGGTCCGCTTTTGGCAGAGACGAACATCTCATAAAGACTCTGACAGGTTGGTGTTAATTTTTTTTTTTGGATTAAGTCCGCTACTGAGGAACTGGAGTTATAAACTATCAAGCAGAAAATGAAAGTAGCCATACATTTAAGTCTATGCATTGCTTAAACGTGAGAAATTATAATCAAGGACTTAAAAAGACAAACAAGTAGTTGACAGCTACAGCGGTAAGATTATCATTGTTAGAGTAACCTAGGTAAAGTTAACTCTAAATGAAAAATAAAAACTTTTAGCACCATAAATACACAAAGAAATACACGAAACAACCAGAAAATGCAACAGGAATAAATACACCAAATTTTATTCATGAAGCAGAATCTAATTGGATGAGAAAATTTGATGCTCGCAGCAGAAGAGTAACATTTCGTGATGGGTGACTTCTTCTGTGGAATTTTGCTAAACAAGTTTTTACAATAAAAAATGGATGGCATCTGTACACACTGTCTGTCATCTTTGCATTTAAATAAATTAGACCTCAGCCAATTGTTTATTTAAATGAACTTAGGGTTAGGGTTTAGTCAGGGTTTATGATCTAATTTTCTTCTTATGGATTGTAGAAACTTTTAGTAAATCCCTAATAAAGTTTCAGGGTGTAATGCCATGGTTGGTGGACTTTGACCAAAGCAAAAATAAAATAAAAAATAAAATTAAATAAAATTAAATAAAATTAAAAAATACAATAAAATAAAAATATTGGGGAAAAAAAGAAAATATATGTTCTGAATGAACTCCTCCCATCCTCTCTGGTCAGCAGTGTTTATACTTACTAATGTCCTGTCCCAACAGACTCACAGGGGAATTTGCTGACTGGATCATTTTGTTAAAACTTCTGCATGAATAGTGCCCACACTGCTTCACAGTCACAACCAAAACACAGCTCTGCAGGCTTAAGGAGTGAATAAGAGAGATCAAGTTGAATGTAATCACAGCACCAGCTCTAATGGTAGAAGAATGTAGAGGATGATGTGATGTGGTTGTAGTTCTTAATAGAAAGAAAAATAAAATAACTAAACCAGTCAAGTTTATTATTATTATTTTGATATAAAAATCTTTGTGTTGTTTGTCTGTTTTGTTAGATCCGTGTGACAATTTCCGTTGTAAGCGTGGAAAAACCTGTAAACTCGACGCAGATGGGAAGCCAGGTTGTGTGTGTCAACAACCATCAGAATGTCCACCCAGCATTAACGAGTTTGATCATGTAAGTATGTGATAACATTTGAAGTGAAGCGCTTCAGCTCTGCTCATATTTTTGTTTTCTTTCAGGTTTGTGGGACAGACAACAAAACGTACGACACGTCATGTGAGCTCTTTGCTACCAAATGCAACTTGGAGGGCACCAAGCGAGGCCACAAACTTCATTTGGACTACACTGGCCCATGCAAATGTAATTTACACAGACTGCATGGTTCAAAAAAACACCTGGTTCCAGAGAAAAACTTTAACCGTCTTCTCTCTCACAGTGTTACTTCCATGTGTGGAAAACGAGCTGGTCCAGTTTCCTCTTCGAATGAGGGACTGGCTGAAAAATGTGCTGCTGCAGCTTTATGAGCATGACTCTATGAACCCTGGATTCCTCACCCCGAAACAACGATTTAGAGTAAGACTCAAAACCTGAAAAAGAAGATTCCCATTATATCTCAATGTCAAAAGGACCATTTGTAAAATATTTTTGTTCTCATGCTTGTTTGAAGGTGAATAGGAGTAGATTCACATGCTTATTTTCAGTGTTTTCAAGACAAAYCCAGTCAATTTGTGTGTGTGTTTTTTTATTGTAATCTAAGGTGAAGAAAATCTTTGAGAATGAGAGGCGCCTTCATGCTGGAGATCACCCAGTTGAGCTTCTTGCACAGGACTTTGAGAAGAACTACAACATGTACATCTATCCGGTGCACTGGCAGTTTGCTCAGCTGGACCAACATCCATCTGACAGGTACATTCAATTCAATTTACGAGATACTGAAACTGCAGCTTTTAGACACCATTTTAAAGAACAAAACAACTGCTTCCACTAAAATTCATTCTTTGGATTCTTCTACCTAAACTCGACTTCCACCCTTGTAAATAAAGAGAACTTTACCTGTTGCCTTACACTAAGAACAACCTGGGTTTGACTTTCAGCTTCAACTATTTTCTTAACTGACTTGTGGCTCGTCTGTGCAGGTTCTTGTCTCACTCAGAGTTGGCCCCGCTCAGGGTCCCTCTGGTGCCGATGGAGCATTGCACCTCTCTTTTTTTCCAGGAGTGTGATGCTGACAAGGACAAACAGGTGTCCTTTAAAGAGTGGACCTCATGCTTTGGTATCAAAGACGGTGAGAGCAGCTTTATGTCTTGTATGTTGACTAATCTTGTGTATATGTCTGTGTCAAAATGGTTTTAGGTGTTATATGAATATTGTTATGTTTTGTCAGTTGGACCCCAGGAAGATTAGTCACCACTTYAGTGGAAACTAATGGGAATCCTAATAAATAAAAATATAAACACGTCTTAAACTCAGTTCTTTAATGAGAGTTAAAATCCCAAACAAAATTTGTTCTTATTATTGCAAGAAACTTCCCAAATATGTGAAGTAATGTTTTCAACAACAGATCTGAAGTTATGAAAAAAAAACAGTGATGAAAATAACAAAATAAAAGTATGCTATGATCAAATACATTTGCATTTTCAAACTTCTTCTCATTTAACAGACAATTGATATAAAATGTTACAAACAAATGAATTTTCCTCACTTTTTTGTTTTATTTTTCTCTCCACAGACGATATGGACGTCAACCTGCTCTTTTGAGATTCACCTTGTTCCTAATCTCCTACACAAGCGTTGGGAAACCTATAATAGAAGCCTTCATAAATAATCTTTTTTTTTCACACAAATCACAATACAAGTTCAGAAACTAACTGTGCCTCCTGCTATAACAGACAAGTGTTATCAGTCCGGTTATCTTGTGCTAGATCAATCTTTAGCTTTTAAATGAGAGATTTGTGACTCTGATTTAATAAGTAGAATTGTTTACTAGAATAATATACTTTTAGCCAGTTTTAATAATGTATTTCATACTGAGGTAAAAGTCTACAACAAATTAATAAAGACTATGTTGTAAAATTTGCAATATTTAGAACAATGTATCTATTAGTTTATAAATCATATAATTTTATGTTATTTCAAATCCTTGTGTTTTTCCACTGATCTAAATCAGTAACTGTGTTTCTTGTATCAAATGCTTAACATGTCGACTCATTTTACATTTTTTTTAAAATCCATGTCAAAGAACTTTAAATTGTAACAAAAGATARCTCTGTGCACCCTGTTGTTGATGAAAAACTGATTTTTTTATGTTGTCAAATAAAGTCAAGACATTATTTTCCCCATTGGACACCAAAATAACKTTGGAAACTTTATTTTGTTGTGTTTTTTTAAGTTCCTGAGCACCTTTATGACTTGAATACATGCCCGTTGCAACAATAGGTATGAAAATGCAAGTCACTCACGTGTGGTTTGGGTTGGCCACTTGATCCTGAATAATGGGCCTCTGTAAGACAACAATAGCTKGCAGCCAAGTCATGATGATTACAGTGACTTGTTGTTTTCAGATAAAGTGTAGGATTGTGATTGGACGTTTCTGCTCGATCACTGAAGTGGACTCTCTGTATATAAGTGCAGAATGAGGCGGCTGTTCACCTACTGACCTTCTGCTGTCACTGAAATAAAACATGTACTGCATACTGTGGGTTATTTTTCAGGCTCTGGCTCTTGTGGTGGAGGGTGGCGTGTCTTCAGGGAGTGCTGAGGCTCTTCTCAAAGGGGGAGCCAAAAATAATGGAGGTGGAGGAGGAGCAGCAGGGGCTGCCGGTAACGTTGCCAATGCTGGGGCTCTGAATGGAGTTCCGCTGGCCGGAGGGGCCGTGGTGGCACGCTTGGTGCAACTTGGCGGGTCGTTGTTTATCCAGCCAGTGGGGAACCCTGTGGGYCAGGCTCCGGCTCAGCAGTTGATTCCCCTTTCGGCTTTTCTTTTGGGGCAGGCAGGTGGAGCCACGGGGAATCTGCAGGGGCAGATGGCCCAGCAAGCTGGAGGTGGGCAAGTGATGCTGCTCAGTGTCGTGCCCCAGAATAATGCTGGAGTGGCCCCTCAGCCTCCCATGCTGTCTCCAGGCCAAGTGCAGCTGATCCCCATTGCTGGGCCAAATAATCAACAACAGCTGGGTGTTGCTGGCGGTGCTGGGAATGCAAGAGGAATACTGAGGTTCCAGCGTTCAGTGGCAGCTCGTCTCAGGAGGACACAGTCTCCACTAACGAAAGCTGCAGCTGCTCAAGAGGAGGAAGAATGCTCTGGGATGGACACCGAGGAAAACAACTGAGAAGATACGACGCAGTCGTGACAGATGATTTATTCCACCTCCCTACTCAAAGACCCTGCCTCGTAGTACTTTCCAGACTTTAGTCTCAGTCAAACATTGTCATTCTGACTAATAATCAATAAATGATTGAATTTGTTACGGCTGACACTTTGTTGATTCTTTTGTTAAAACGCCTACATCATCTGTGCCCAAATATACATATACTGTATATCCAAGCCTACAAAACACCAAATAAAAACAACTATTATTATAGTGTGTTTTCTAAGATTGCTGTTATTTTAATCTGGAGACTGATGGAAAAATACACAAGGTTCTATTTACGCTTTAGTGCCAGCTTGCAGCATAGTAATTTGGGGCTCTAAACTTGAACAACATCCGAAATTCTTTGCATCATTGCTCAATTCTTGGAGTGATTAATTGCAGCTAATGAAAGTCATTCTACAATACAAAGCATGTATTAACATCTCATCTATCTACATGTATAAAAGCATTCAGTTAAATTTATAATATGAAATATCATTTCTCTCAGCATAAAAGCCAAACAAGAAAAAGTTTTCTAAATTTAAGACACATGACAGTGTATAATTAGACCTCCAGACCAGACATCCCACATGGTGTTTACCTGGTTTGCTGTGGCCCGCTCAGTCAGCAGCAGAGAAACCATTCCCAGACAACCTCAGAGTGAGAAAAACACGAGACAGTGACCCAGGGAACAAATTTAATGTTTCCTAAACATGTTGAGAAAAAAAGGCAGCTTTAACATGACATACTGGGTCTGCATCTTTGTATTAAGCATTTGTTGCTGACAAAATAGAACAMAATTACTTCAAATGATAATAATAATAAAAAAAATATTAGAAGGCAAATGTCTTAAAAATACAAAAATTAGAAACTATTCTATAGTGAATAACAAAGTAGTTTTAATTTGCTTCTTTTAAGAGGGGCACCTTTCCTGTCATATTAAATTACATAAGTTTCAAAATAATCAGAAAGAATTTGTCTCTCAGGTGGCCATAGACTTAATGCAATAAAAACACAAATTTGACTATTATGGTACTCACGTTTGTTGTTAGTAGTACATCTGGATTATGTTGTAAAAACTAAGTTTTATTGACACTGAACATCAGGCTCTCTTCTGGACTTTTTGATGCAGGGATCAGTCAGGTCAACTCAGCTTTCCAACTTGCTGGAAATTTGTCTGAAAGGCTTTTTGTCAAAAAGCAAAATGAGAACAAACATGGATAAGACTAGTTTAAAACTTAAATTAGCTACTTTTGAGACTATTTTTCTTATGAACATCTCATCACTTTTTCTGAGCTGAGCTGCTGCCTGCCATGAAATGAGTAGTAGTTTTATACTAAACCTTTGTCAATCTTCAGCTGAAATTGGTTTTACAAAAGGCTATGGACGTTATGGTTTATAAAGTTATAATGATGATGCACAACTGTTTGTAGCTAACAGAGTTATGGTCAATAACCAGCTTGTTGGCTGCAATTAGCCTGTCGGCAAAACAATGATGAGATCAATAGTAGATAATGACTGACATTTAGAGAAGAGAACAAATTTGTTTGTACCCTTTCTTGGAAAAGAGAAAGTACCCCACTGAAATACCTTGAAACTGACAAAAGTGATAAAAAACAAACAAAATTAAGGATACTGAAAATCATACACTGCTTTTGAATTTTAGTCCAACAGAAACAAAACAATGAAACTAACAAATATGGTACTTATTACTTATTATTTTTTGCACATGYTGAAGCAATCAAACATTTTTTGCAGTTTACTGCTGTATAGTTGGGTATGCACACCTTCACAGTCTCTGTATCCGTAGCATGACTCACCCCAACAACTTGACAGAAACAACTGACCAATCAAGCAATTTTTACAGAAAATAAAAAATAAAAAACCCCAGTTAAATACACATAATTATTACTGCACTGTTTTACTGTTTTTTTGTTTTCATTAAGTATCACTGGAACAAAGCTTTCAAATTATTTAAGTGACCACTGCAGGTTTCCTTTCCTTAACAGAGAAATGCAAGCATTTATCCATGTCTGCACTGTGTTGTTATTGTTTTTTTTTAAGTGAAACAGTGTACCCTTTTTATTTATGTTGCATTTTAGTGGGAGCATGACAACTTTTCCAAGCTATTAAGTTTTTCTCCAGTAATCACACTCTAGAAAAGAAGAAACTCACTATGTAAGTTTTCTGATACCACTAAAAAAAATCTCATTCATTTCATCGTCTGCTTTGTTGCACATACAGTAATGTTTGATTTGACTGCACAAGCACACRTACATATGTTTTTCATGCTCTGATCCACAAAAGCACTCAGCGGTGATGTCAGTTGTTTGCCTCCTGCGACCACAACCAGCAGCATTTAAGGGTTTCTGACTGGTTTTAAGCTGGTAGCTTCCACAGACCTCCGCAGACTCATTCTGAGACTGAATCACTCTGTTGTCATCTGTGGTCCTTTGGTTGCACAGAGAACAATGAGAAAAGACAGAAATGTGGTGAAAATTGCCCAAATAGGCAGCGCATGGATTTACAGATCTTTTCAAATCTATTGCTCAGATTGATGGTGTCATATCACCTGTTCTTATGACAAACAGGTGACAAATACAGAATGTAAAAAAAGCGTTCTTGTCTCTAATTGGCTCAAAATAATCTCTGAGGCTGTTAAAAAGGTGTTGTCAATGCAGAGAGTTACAGATTTTCTGACATTTGAAGAAAGAGTGTTTTTCATCGGTTACGAGCTGCAATATGAAGTTTCTTCTCTTCACGGCATTTGTTGCAACTMTTTCCTGTGTGAGTACTGTTTATCTTTTTGATCAGGTTTTATGTTCACTGTCATTTAACATTCTGCCTTTTCATTTTTTGCAGGCCAATGCAGGCAAGGTAAGAAAAAACCCATGAGGTTTCGCAGGCTTTAAAGAATAATATAAATTAGATTACAGACAATTACTACAGAAAAAAAAAAGAAAAAAACTTTCCTGTTTTTTTGCAGACAGCAAGGCTGCTGGCAGCTATGAATGCTGGGATGCTCAATGGGATGATGGCTGGAGGTCTGAACCCATTGGTAGCTGGTGGTGGAGTTGGTTTAATTGGGCAGCCCCAGTTTGCTCAGGTGAATCCAACAGATCATATGTTGGGCAGTCAACATGAGAACAYCTGTGCCATACCTTCTCTCATGGGCTTATACAGAACTTTATAAGTCAGCTTAGCTCAGCTGGTTAGAGCATGGAGCTAATAATGTCAAGGTGGTGGGTTCAATCCTTTTACAGGCCAGAAAAGTACATTGTAGGGCAGCTGATGTGAGACTGAGAAGCTGCAAGTTTAGTTTCCTGCCGTGTCCTTGAGCAAGACATTTATGTGCTACTGCTACAAATGCAGATTACATAGCTCCCTGCAGCTTCACGTCAGGATATCTGGTGTGGATTATTTGCAGAACACACATTTTGTRATAGTATAGGAATATGTAATGATGGCCATACTGTATATAACACTTATGCATGTTTTATCTGATCACAGTTTGTTCCTGGACTTCCTGCTTTAGCTCTCCGACCTCCTGTTGCTAACATGTTCCCTGCAGCCRTCAATGCGGTCAGTGCTACTGCGACAACTCAAAAACGACAAGCATGCTCAGCTTTTTAAAAATAAAAACTTACTTATTGTCTTTCTCTTTTAGTACCAGGTTCCTTTCGTGGGTGTTCCTCAAATGGCTCAATTGCCTCCTCCTCCTCAGCAACCTCAGATGGTAAAAACTAACTTGTCTGAATCTGCCTTTAAAACTGATTAATAGAGATGTAAAGGTACACAAGTTAGGTATGAAGCTTTGGGGAAAAAAACGCTAAATACTAGGTTCACTTTCAGTAAATATAAACTGACTATACCAGCAGAAGCTCAGACATAACAAACCAAAACCAAAATCCAACATCAGTATTTTATTGTATCTTTGTTCAGGGGATGGCAGGTGGAGCCATGCAACAACAATTTCCAATGGTAAACCTCTCATTTCTCTAACAACATTTTGTAGTTTTTTTATTTTTACTTTTAGAAATGTAACAAATCATTTGGAAACATTTTTTTTCTTTTTCTCAATCAGGGGGTGATGGGTGGAGCCATGCAACAACAACTTCCAATGGTTAACCTCTCATTTCTCTTTTATTTTGTAGTTTTTTTTATCATTATTATTATTTTAGAAATGTAACAAATCATTTAGAAACACTTTTTTTCTTTTTCTCTATCAGGGGATGATGGGTGGAGCCATGCAGCAGCAGCCTCAGATGGTAATGTTTTATATTAGTTAACAAAACCACTTTGCATTTCTTGCAACTTACAAAATCACCAGTGAATTTGTTGTTTTTATTCAGGGGGTGGCAGGTGGAGTCATGCAGCAGCAGCCTCAGATGGTAACGTTTTATTTCTTAAACATCAGTCTTAGCATTTCTAGAAACTTTTAAGAAACTCACCAGTGAGTTTGTTGTTTTCGTTCAGGGGATGGCAGGTGGAGCCATGCAGCCGCAGCCTCCTGTTCAGCCAGATCCTCTCAGGAGATTCAGGGTATGGATCTATTTTTACAGTGTGAGTCCCATTTAAACAGACTAAACATTTTTCCTTGTGYATCTTTAGCGACAGGTTGTGAAATCAGCAGGCACTGAAAAGTCCAGTGTGGACACACAGGTGAGACAATTTTTGCAATCATCTAAAAATTTTAAAAAAGATCACAAAAGCTGTCTTTAATTTGTTAATTTATTTTATAGTATGTGAAATGTTTTCATTAATTACCTTGTTATCCTAATGTGTTCACAGATTCCAGTTCCCACTGAGTCAGCAACAACCAATCCTCCATGTGACAACAACATTTATCCTGAGGCGAATTGAGTTCATCCTGTTAAAATGTCCCAGTGTTCACGGTGCCAGGAGGCTTGTCTCATAGTTTGCACTATGTTTCTGCAACTTCAACCGCAATAAAATTGGTTCATAATGTCACAAAATTGATTTTGAATAAAAAGTTACACTAAAATCCCAAATGTTTTTTTTCTGCTTATACACATTAAGAAATATGTTTTCTAATCATAGTTATTTCATCAGCTTATGGTTTTGCCCAAGATAAAATTACAGTAGACCTCTGYTGCCATCTAAAGGATAATGAGTGGACTGGGAGGTAAAAGCTTAAAGGAAGTCAAAAAGGTGATATTTTTTTTCTTGGCTGCTCCTGTCCCCAGGGGTCACCACAAGTGGGCAAACTTGCATTAAGATAGATTGCTTTTTGCATTAAGATAGCTTTTTTTTTACTTTTAATTATTTTTATTTTGACTATCTCACCAAGGTCCTGTCCTCATTTAGTTGCAGATGTTTGTGAAAGACTTACTTCATGCAGAAGAATTAAAAGCTACTCAGGATTTTGGTCATTTTAAATGCAATCTAATAGTTTTTGTTTCCTTTCTTAGTTCCGTGCTTTCACACAGTCTTGTTTAGCAGATCTACAATTATTTCCACCTAAAAACTCGACTTACAGACTCACACCATCAATTGAGAGACATTAAACAGGGGTACTATGTCATTCAATCCAGTAAATTCAGATGTGTATTGATTTTAAAATTAGGGCTGTGAAATTAATCGAGTTAACTCATATTGATTGATTTTAGTGCTGGGCATAGATTAAAAATTTTAATCACAATTAGTTGTGATTAATCTAACTTTTTTATTTTTTTATTTTTTACAATCACTTTACTATGGCAGAATTTGTAGGTTTGTATAATGCACTCCATATCAGTGCATGCCAGGTCATGTTTGTAAATGAGAAGTGGTTCACAAACAGTTTACCTGGATAAATAAAGGTTAATAAAATAAAAACTCAGTTTTGCTGATAACTGCTTTAAGTGGTACTCATTTGGAATGAAAATCCTTGAATTCTTAATTTAACCTCATTATTCTGCACAAAATTTAACTGACTCAAATATGTTTGGAGCATTTTTAGGTCCTGTTTTATATTCAAAAAA